AGTGGTCAAAATGCCCAGAAAATGCCATTACTGAACATTTCCTGGCATTTCCCTCTTTAGTGGATAAAAATCACAGAGGTGATTTTGAAAATTAGTGCTGTAAGCTGTAAAACATTTTGCAATCCACTTTTACATTTCTGGGTTGGAACTCTCTGCCCTTCAAGATTAATGGCACAGGGTGTATAACTTCAAGGGGTTTTCTTTTCCCTGCTGATCGAAGCTGTCGTTGCAAGTTTTTCATATTCCATGCTACTCTAAACATTATGATGGGGTGGGGGATGGAGGAGGAGGATAGAAAGAAGCATTTTGGTGGAATATCCATGAAGCTTTTAATGTCCTACATGCCTCAGGGCATCCTGCTAAATGACTCTCAGCAGTTTACAAATGGATCTACAGGTGATTTCCAGAGTTCTCCAGTTAGCTGGAATTGCTAAGAATGATGGGAGCTCAGATCTACATACCTGTGGCAACCAAAAACTTGGGAAACCTGGCTAAGATGCAAGGCAGTTGATAGATCATCTTTCTAGCTTATTTAAAAGGTCCATATGGGAGAACGCTAGCCTCCACCTGCCTTTAGGACAATAATATGTCAATAGAAAAAAGATCCATGTTGATGAAATATCATTTCATCCAGGTTGATGAAATATAATTCTTGGATTGATGTGATTGGTCCAGCTGCAAGAAATGCAGTTTTGCTGGTTTTCTCCCAAGATTAAAAAGATGTTGAGACTCAGAGAGTAGAGAAGAGCAACAAAGATGATTAAGGGGTTGGAGGTTAAAATATATGAAGAATGTTTGTGGGAATGTGGAATGTCCAGTCTAATAAAGAGAAGGGCTAGGGGGTGACACGATAGCATTTTCAAATATTTGAAGGGCTGTCACAGGGAAGTGTTGCTCAACCTCTTCTCCAAAGCACCAGAGGCCAAAACAAGAAACAACATTTGGAAACTAATCAAGGAGAGAAGCAACCTGGAATTAAGGAGAAATTTACTGACAGTAAGAATATTCAACCAGTGGAACAACTTGCCTCCAGAAGTTGTGGGTGCTCCATCACTGGAGGTTTTCAAGAGGAGACTGGACATCCATTTGTCTGGAATGGAATAGGGTTTCCTGCTTGAGCAGGGGGGTGGACTAGAAGACCTGCAAGGTCCCTCCCAATTGTCATTCTGTTATTCTGATGGTGCTCGTGCTCCAAATTATGCTTGAACACCATTGCGTCTTACTGGAAGGATATGAAGACCCTTTGTTATTCTGTTATCAATGCTTTAATATGAATCATCGTTGAATTATTGCAACCTATTTCTTTATACGTTGGAACGCTGGAACCATCATGAAAACATTTGAGATTAACCTCAGTGCAAACTATCTCTTCTGCTGTCTTTCCT